TACACTTTTGCTGGTTGAAAAAAAAAGTAAACCAGTAAATTGTTGTTGTTGTTACTTGAATAATAATGTTCCCTTTTCATAGTCTGTTGTTGATGTTACTTGTCAATTGGTCTGATCCTTTTACCAACGACATTACAATTATGTTGATTGTGATAATGATATAAAAAGGTAACATTGAAAACAAATGTTTCTCTTGTTTTTATCATCCTCATCCTCATCTTTATCTTCATCTTCATCATTTTCGTTTTCGTCTTCAACTTGATTGTTGTTGTTGTTTTCTTACTGTTGATTTATCACAAAGCGTTTTGATAATGTTGTTGACGATTCCATTTAATATCAACATTATGTATCTTTCCTCCTTCTTACACCAGGTAAACATGTCGATAGATTTTGTTGAAAATCATGTAAAACTCAGGGAGGGAATCGTGTCAACATGAGGATAGTTTGTAACCCAAGTAACGTTTCAATCCATCTCTCTCAAGGTAAACTAATATTACAATCTTATCCTTTTTTATGTCAACAACTTTGTGTCTTTTTTCATCATCATCATCGTCATCATTTTGATCTTCTTTGGGGGAATTATCATAGTTTGCACTTTTTTCTTCTTCTTCTTTGTCTCTCCATTCAGTGAATCTCTCTCGAGCTAAGTCTTTCCCTCCTTGTATTTATATCCATTGGTTGTTATGTATTTAAGCTTTAAATGTGTACGACATGAAAACTTTGCAATCCATTAAACAATACTGATAGAACACGAAAAATCAAGTAACCAATAGGCCTGACATTTGGAACATGATTCAGCTGATTCGTCTTCTTTTTCTGTGTTCGTCATCTTGTCTTTTTACTTTTTGATTCTGTTTTCTTCCTCACAATCTCAGATATTGTGTATCACTTGCAAATGGTTGCAAGTTACAACTCAGTTAACAAGGGAACTCATCTCAAATTGTTGATGTTCCTTGTCAAACATTTTCGTTTTTTGCTTCTGTCTGTCATTGATGATGATGCTATCGATGATGATGAGGATAGGGATGAGGATGCTAAGAGCAGAGAGAGAGAGAGAGAGAGAGAGAGAGAGAGAGAGAGAGAGAGAGAGAATGGGTAAAAATGAGACGAGTAAAACACCAAGGGAAATGATTGAGGACATTGTTATCCACCTATACGAATCATTATCAGGTCAATATGATGAAACATTCAACAATCATCATTTTTCAGTTCATTTGATGGTTTTTTCTATAGGTTGAATCCTATAAATGTTTGGTTACTTTTTTGTTCATTCGTATATGAGTTTGTACACTTGATAAAATGGTTGATAATCTGAGGATGCAGAGAGAGAGAGAATGAGAGTGAGAAAATGGAAGATTGAAGAGAGTAAAGAGAGTCCAAGATGAGAGGGAAACAAGGAAAGTACATTAGAGTGACTGCTACTTTTGGGATACAGAGGAACCAATAATTTCTCCCGTAAGTCTTTTTGCCTTTTTTCTGCTCTTATTTTGATTCTCTTCTCTTTTGGATGATGAGGATGATGAGAGAGAAGGAGAAAAGGAGAAAAGGGGCTGGTGGTGGATCGAAGATGAGAGAATCTGTAAGGGAGAAATAAAAAAGATAACAAAGTTAGTCAATTCTCTGAGTAAGTTGAATGAGTTCTCATAGGTAAAAGATACTCTGATAAGGGAGAGAATATCATCTTCATGGTGAGAGGTGGGAAATTTGGAGAGAGGGTGAAGATGAGGAGAGAGGGAAATGTTAAGGAATAGATTCCATTACAAGATTCCCCGTCAAGTTGATTGTCAGAATATAAAATGTACATTTCTCAATCTTTTTTCTTCATGTCTGGTTAGGGAATGAATATTACAAGTTAGAGAGATGTCTATGTAATATTAAATGGTTCTTGTTAATAGTGTTTAATATGAGCCTAATTTAGGCGATTTTTGTTGAGCTCATGTTGAGTTAATATTGAGAATCAGCCAATTGACTGAATCAAAAGGTTGTCATGAGAGAGATGTATTTGTGTATATGGTTGGAGAAATAGTGAATTTTGTTGACCATTGACGGAAAATTAAATTTTCTACAATAGATAATTTAATGATTTGTGATTAGAATTAGAGTCAATTTCGATATTTTTCACCGTAATTGGGAGTTAATCAATTGTCTCATCGAGCTAATTAGTATTCAAATATTTTCTCTGGTGGTTTTTATATTGATTGATTGGACTTTCGAAAGTTCAAAAGACTCGAAACTTTATTGGTATTTATGTTTCCATCGACATAATTGTCATATTCGAAGATCGAAGTCATTGAAGTTCGTTTTTGAGCCAATTCTTATTATCGAGACTCGAAATTTGATGTTTGTTGATTAAGTTTATTTTCATCTCCATTCATCTTTGACATCAGAACAATTTATTAATGATTGAAGAGTCTTTGAATCTTCATGGAAGCCTGATCGTCCCGATAACATGGCCTTTAGTGCCGATATTCAGTTTTATATATTGACTTCGATTACTTATCGTATGTTTTCGTTATGAATTTGAGCAAAAATTTTTCGACATTTTCTCAATCATTGAATTCTTACAGATCTGAGATAGCGAAAAATAGAGCAAATATTGTCATTATAACTCGACTTTTACGAATTGGATCTCATTCAATTTCACTTTGGATAAATTAATTAATTAAAATATTAGATTATTATTCATTGATTGAAATAAATGATCATCAAGTTGGAAAGTTTTTCTTTCAACTTGAAGAAATTTATTGTTTCTTGTTGATTGAAATACTTTTACACGTTGGTTTAAATCGTTAATTATTGGGCCGATTTTCATGTTAATTTAGGTTTAATTATGTATGTTAATAAACAATGTAAAGTTAATTACTGACAATCAAATCAGTGGAAAAGTTAATTGTGTTAGTAGCTCCATCTCTTGTTAGCTGGAGGAAAAATAGTTGGTTTTTATTGGTGATTTTTGTTAATTTTAATTGCGAATGAAAAAAAAAGTAATTAAAGGAAATTAATGTCTAAAGTTAATTGTTAGGAAGTAAAATTTGTACATTACTGTTGTTGAATATCTAGATGACAATTAGATAATTGGACAGTTAGATTGATTCTTTATCTCCGTCAGGATCATGACAAAAGTGAGAAAATCGTTGATTGTTGATTATATTATTTAATCGAGTGTAGAATTTGTTGATTCAAGAATCATCATGATGTTTTCTCCAATTCATGGAATTTCCTTTATCATTAGAATTTTGTTCCATTGATGATGATTGGGTATTTTCGATTGAATAATCATTTTGTTCCTTTGATTCTTGATTATCATTGTCAACATTTTCTTCAGCGTCATCGTCTTCATCTCCACCGCCATCATATTTAGCAGCTGAATGAGCAGATGATTCAGCTAATCCATATTCAGGCTGAGTGTTTGGTGGATTACGAAAATTTGATGATGATGAAGATGAAGATAAGGGGAAAGGTGAATTTCTCAGATAATGAATTGAAGGGTTTCTATCACTTAAAGAAGCTCCATCATAACTGACCGGTAGATCCTCGGACACAACCTGAGGTTTCAGAGAAACTGATCCAGATTCAAAGGTTGATTTCCAGGGTGATTCTGGTTGATTATCAATGAACGAACTACCTTCAGGTTCAGAATTGTAGTCGTTAAAGAATCGCGATCGAGTTTGATAACTTGAACGGACTGGTAATCGTTCCGGTGATCTTAATGGTGACCTCCGTCCGGTCGGGTAATAGTCACTTGGGTGATTCTGTTGAAATGATTCTGAACTTTCACCCGATTCAGAATATCTTGAATGTAAATAATCACTTCTACATCCAACAATTAAGCACAAAATAAACGTAGTTAAGCCCATCATGTAAGTAATCAACATCTTTCAACTGGACGATGGTCAACAAAAGGTTCAAATGAAAACAATTGAAAACTTTTTAAACTGATCAACTAGTTGGAAAGTAATTTAAATTATTGGTCATCTTATTGATCACAATTTGATTACAATTTGATTACAATTTGGTTTTTTTCCACCACTAAACTGGACATGGATTGATGGACATCTAATATCAGGTAACAATTTACAATTAACAGCAAATGATTAACAATCAGTAGGAAAAGTTTTGATTATCTTGTTGTTTCCTTCGTTCATGTTTATCTTTGATTGAACAATTTAAACACCCGCAGTTAACGGTAACATAATTTACTTAATGATGAAGGTGATGATTTAGTTTATCTTGATTAACTGTTGATTGTCATTCTTGTAATTGTGACAGAAAAAAATTTAAACAATCAGCCGTAAATTAAACTTACACTTTTTGTTTACCGTTACAATTATCTTCCTTTTTCCATTAACTTTAATCAACCTTACAATTAACTAATCATTTTTGTTTTTAATTTACTAATTTCTAACATTTCGTTAACCCTAACCATTCAATTTAAATCACAATTAACTTGATTCTATATTGAGATGTGATTGTTTAATTGTTTTAAATGTAGGGAGACTTTTTTTTCAATTCTATTGACAAAATAATCAACAATTAGTTTGATTTCTTTTTGTCGATTTCTAAATTAACTTTAAATTGTTTCACTTTCATTGGATTCAATTTGGTTACATTTGATTCAATTAAACAAATGATTGTTGATAATTGTGATAATCTATTGATGGCCGATTATCTTGATGACCAGTTGATTGTTGGATGAATGGACAATTTGATTGTTGTTAATATGATTTGGTTTTTTTGTGCGAGAAAAAAAAACTAAATCACAAACAATAATCAAATGTTTACATTTGAATGTAATTAACGGTAACTAATCATTTCGTTCATCAACCTTTGAAAATATAATCAAATTGTTGATTCTAATTGTGATGATGGAAACTTTTCACCCACAATTTAATTGTATTGATTATTTACCAAACCCGGAAAGGGATAAGGAAATTTTTCTTTCCTTTTCTTTTTCCGTCTGTAAATCATTTCAATTAAATGATTTTCTAATTGTATGTGTGTGTGTGTGTGTGTGTTTGTTAATAATGATTGATAATAAATCTTTCTAATTACAATCAACAAGAGCTAATCAGTAATCCAAACGGTTAGATGGTCAAATTTACACTTTGGTTTCCATTTTATTCAATCAACTCTTGTTTTCGGATACCAGAGACACCTAATTCCTCTAATTCAGTGTAAATTGTGTCCAATTCCTTCTTCAAATCAAGTAGACTAACGTTAATTACATAACGAGAATCAGTGTCTTTGTCGGTGTGTTGTTTAATATTCATCGTTAATCCAACTGGTTTACTGGCTTCCAGAATTTGGATTATTATTGGTAATGAGATGGCACGAATATCCTTCAATTGGACAACTCGATGGTACTTTTTCAACTCGACAACTGATTCGACAACATTTTCCTCCTTCTTCATGATCGTATAATTAAATAATCTATGAGGTATCGGCCAATAATCAGATACATGGAAACCAAGACCAGTAAGAAATTTCTGAATATATCGAGTGTACTCTTCAAGGGAAACATAATCTGGAGAGAAAAACTTGACACAAAAACGGAACCATTACTAACCAATTGTTAGGTGACAATCTGACAACAAACTTACCTGAAGATTAAGAAGATGATAAAATGGAATTGGTGGTTTAAGTAAACTCAAGTATTCTGGTTCATTTACACCGGTGAAAACTGTTGGATTATAATATTTGGCATCAGCTCCTTCTAATGGTTGAAGTAAATTTTTCTTCTTTTTTCCCATTGATTGGATAACCATTGGTCGAGCTAAACATCTTGCAATTAAATTATTTGACACTTTAAACATAATTAATAGCAAATTAATTGTTTCTTTACAATAGAAATTAAATTGACAAAGAAAAACGAAAAACGAAAAAAAAAAAAATTCAATCGATCAGCTGATCGCAGTTCTAAGTGAGGAACATAGATGGCGCTGGTAGAGCGATTTTTCGTTAATTAAAAAAAGTTAATTATTAAAACAATTTTACTTTTAATTACTTTTAATGTTAATTGTTATTGTTGATCAATTGTTGGGAACTATTACCAATCACTTGATCTTTATTGATATTAGCAGCAGACTCAATTTTAACCATCAGTAATTAATTGTTGATCGTTAATTGTGATTAATTGAATTGGTTAATTTTAATTATCTTTTTGTTTATTTTAATGGTTACAAAATTAATGAATTAACTTGATGATAAAGAAAAGAGTTAATTACTTGGAAGATGATTTGAAAATTAAGAGTTAATTGGAAACAATCAACTCAGACCAGAGACAATTAGAAGATAATAAATTAATTTAATTGTTACAAATTGTTATATTAACACAAATCAGTGATTAGTGAGTACATAAAATATAGATTAGTAATTTAGTAATTGGTTAATTGTTATCAAGAGATATGTTCAATTAGAATTTAAAAATTTCCATTGATTCTCCAGTCAATTGATTAAATTATAATTGGAAATCAAAAAAGATATTTAATTGTTACGAGATTATAATTTATAATAAGAATGAGATTATTTAAATCATTGAGATTAATCATCATAATGGTTAACAGGATTATCTTGGTCATCAAGTTGAGAGATGATGATTAACCAAGCCCAATTATATTAATTGTATTGTAAGAAATTGATTAAGAGTAATTAAAACATTTTCATCATTGATGAATGAGATTAGTTGATTAATGATAAATTGTCATGAATGAATAAAGTATAATTGTAGATGATTAACAAATAGAAATCAGTTGATACGTTTGACTGTCCAATTTGAGTTAATTGTAAACAAATTCTGTCCAATTGTCATTAATTATTCTAGAACCTTTTCCATTGTTATTCAGTAGCAAATCAATTGATCACTATTATTGTTATTGATTAGAAATTGATTATTGAGAGATGACCAATTCGACCGGTAAATTGTCAACAGATTGACAATTAACCTTCGGTAAATTGTTTTCTTGAGTTTGGATCGTTAATTCATCATCAGATCGTTGATTCCATAGATCAAGTTGCTTGAGAATATCAGTTAAATTAACATCACGATTAAGTGAATAGAAATGGAAACCAGGTACATCCAGGCCAGAATCGATCACCTTTCGACAAAGATCAACCGCTTGTTCGAGGCCAAATTGTCTTAGCTGTTCAGAGTTTCCCGAACAAGAGTCGAAGGCACTTTTAATATCCTCTGATGGTTCAACTTGAGTTAATTTTGCGATGTTACGAAGCGAAACTTTGGTCTGAATCGGGAAAATTCCCGGTATAATTGGAACCTTAATCCCGATTTTCCGACAATCCTTAATGAAGTTGATATATTCATCAGCTGAGAACGATAATTGTGTAATGATGAAATCAGAACCAGCGTCAACTTTTGCCTTCAAATAATTTAAATCATCTTGATATGATTTAGCATCAGGATGTCCCATAGGATAACCAGCAACACCAAGGGTAAAGTAATCATTAAATTTTTCCCTGATGAATTTAACTAAATCAAGAGCACAAGTAAATTTATCAACTGATTCATTGTTGACCAATGGTTGATCAATCTTGACATCATTACTGATTGTTGTTGATGATGGTGATTGTGCTGTTGAATTTGGATTTATTTCTGGAGTTAATTGTTCACCAGATTTTCTTTGACTTAGATAATCATTAGAATCGCCGTTGATTAGGTTAACTAATTGTTTCTCTTCAATTTTTTCCTCTTCCTTTTCCTGTGTTGGTTTATCTCCTCTTAAAGCGAGTATATTTTTAATCCCTAATGATTTAGCTGTATTAAGAATCGATTCCATGGTGATTAAATCGTATTGTGAACAAGTTAAGTGTAGAATTGTTTCATCATTGAAACGTTTAATTATTGAATTTGCAATTGCTAAACTGGAATAACAATTATCTGGGTCGATTGAAGTTCGTAAATGCCAAGTGATGTCCACGAATAAAGGATTACCTTTCTTGAGATTATCCAATAGAGGCCAGAATGAATTTAATTCAGTTTCTTTTCGTGGTGGAAAAAATTCCAATGAGAAAAAGGGTTTACCATGTTCACTGCGATAATTAACTATCTTATCAATCAATTTAATTGGTGTTACAGTTGATTGTTCAATGGTTGTTGCTGGTTCCTCGGTATAAGTCATGGTCGCAATTAGGATAACCAAATGTAAACAGAAACAATGAGAAAACAAATGATTCACAAAAAGATGATGATGATTAGTGATGATGACGTTGGAAATTGTTGATTTCTGGTTGTCACACTGGATTGATATTAATTCAACTGGTTAGAGGAACAAGTTAATTGTTGATTAAATCATCAGGGAAAAAGAATAACAATTTAAAAGGAGAAGAAAAAAGATATTTGTTACCAAGGTCCAATTCCAATTGCAACTCATATGTTCCCGAAGAAGATCTGGTTCAACCTCTTTCTTTTCTTTCTTTTCTTGTCTTGCTCTTTCTTTTTTTCTCTTTCTTTTCTCTCAATCAAACCTTTACACTTTCAATGGTTTGTTGATTGTTGATTGTTGATTGTTGTTGGAAAAGATGATCAAAAGTAAACTTGTTTTTCAGCTTTTCTCATTCACCTGATATTAAACATAAACTTTTCTCATCAATTCTTGTTAATTGTTATTACCATTACCAGGATAATAATTTCAAGTCAAATGTAATCACCTGAAAATGATTAACAATTTAACTAATTGTTAACCATTTAAAGTTTAATTTATGTGATCATGAGTTGATTGTATGAACTAAACATGTGATCGTAAAGTTAAATCATTCATCATTACATAGTAACAGAATTCAGATTGACAATCAATTTAGATTTTTGTTTCTAATTAGTTGCTAATTAAATTGTTGATGTCATAATCATCACGATTCTGACAATATATCAGCGTTGAGAAAAGAGCATCTTACCTGAAGATTAGATTGAAATTAAGTTCGAACTTGGATTTTGATGAAATTATGGTGATTAAGATTAACTTTTATCATAATCTTAATCTAATCCTCAGGTAAGATTAATTTAATTGTAACTTTGTAAATCCCTTTGAAGTAATTCAATCACTTTGTGATTAAGTTAATTGTCTGCATAGGGTAAATCTCATGACCAATAAACGAAAATCTAATCGTAACAATCAACTGATTTAAAGTTTTAGTCAAAAAAAAAATGAAAGGGAAAAAGTAATCAAATTAGTTAATTGTTAATTTTGGTGAGATGATTATGTAAAATTAGCAAATTGAAACATGTGTATGGTACATGAATTGTTAAGATAATTAACAAAATCATTTCAATGAATCAAATTAATATTTGATTATATAATTACAATTATCTTTCCTTTGATTGTTAATATTATTGGAAAAAAATTAACAATCAACTCCTTCCGATGTTAATTGTTACATCCTTACACATGATTGATTAAGGAGAGCGTAATAATTAATATATTTTTAGAAATGAAAGATGACAAGTACATTAATTAATTAGCTAATCAACTAACCTAATCACTTAAAAATCTTATAACAACCGGTAAAAAAATCGCAAAAAATCCTATGGTAATTAGATTATAATACTTAATTCGTAGTTCCATTTCTTGTTGAGATAATTCAATTGATTGTTGAGTTGAATTAATCTCGTTCACGATGATTTGACTTAGATTGTTGAGATTTTGTTCAAATTTGGTATCATGGTTACTTTGATTACTTGTGGTCTCTTCCGGATCAGTTGATGGTTGGCATTGATTATCGTTAAGTTGATTCAGTTCCTTGGTGAATGTTGAGCTTAATGAATTCATTTGTGATTCCAATGCAGTTACTAATTTGTTGATATCTTTCATTTTCAGGGCATGATTGATACTCGTTCCAACGATTCCGAGAAAAGCGCCGATAATTGATCCGAGAATCGATAAATATTTGACCTTCTCCTGTCGTAGTCTTTCAAACTATCAGGAAAACGAGAAAATAGATTAGAATTGTGGTTAATTGTTACCTTAATTTCTTAATTCTCACCTCATGAGCTTCTCTTAATCTCTGAGAAAAACTGGTGAACAATTCACGTTCTGATTCCTCTCTGGTTCGCAAATCATTCAACAGTTTCAACTCGTTTTTCATCATTTTATGTTCATTTGTAATCAATTCCAAATAAGCTTCATCTGATCGGCTCATGGAATCTATTGGTGCAAATGATTAGAGAAAATCAACAATTAATTTAATTTTGACAAGAAAATTCAATTCAAATTGACCACTGAATTTCCAGAAAAGGTTAATCATCATCGTCCGAGACATTTAAACATCTTTCCCTTTAATTGGTCACAATTCCTTTGTCAAATTATCCTCTTAAGACTTTAAACAATCCCTGTATCAGAATGTCGAGTAACCATTTTAATTACAACAATTAGTAAAAGTGATTACCTAATTTGGATCGGATTTGTTTCAAATTCTGTTGTACTTTAAGTAAATCATCTTGGATTGAGCGTCGGGCTTTACTTGACTCGATAAAAGCTTCTTCTGCCTGTATACAGATAAGAAAAGGAAGTATGGTGAGAAATAAGTAATTAGTTAATCATAAAATTAAAGAAAATTAGTTAATTTAATCATCAAACCTTGAGGACATTTTGTTGAATCTTCTTAATCTCCTTAACACCAATGTAACTCTCATAAGAGTCCATAGCTTTGAGCAAGGAATCATTGAGAGGAGATTTATTGAATTTCCTTGGAATTGATTGGAAATAATTCTTTAAATTGTGAACAACATTATTAACCACAGTTCGAAGAGCCATGATTAGAACAATTAAAAGTATTAAAAAAGAAACACAATCAAAAATAAAATCGATCACAATGAAGAGAAAACAAAATGTAAACAACAAAGAAAAAGAATAACAAAAGTCACGTGGTCATAACATATGATTTCTCTTGCCGGTTTAGTTAATTGTTTTCTTTTTGTTTCTATTTTATTTAATTACTGTTTGATTAATTTAATGTTCTAATCCTTTGATCACCTAATTATTTTATTGTTTTCCTCATTCATCATGTCAAGGACTTGGTCTGTTTCTGTTGAATCAATTTCCATTTTTGCTCAACCTTCAAGTTACATTTGACTTTTTTTTTGCTTGCAGAAAATTAGTAATTAAATTGTGTTGTTTAACTTTTTAATTAATTGTCCTCATCTTATCAAATGATTGAGTGGATACAGGTTGGTTAATTAATTACTATTAACTTTGTTTGTATGAACATTATTTCAATATTATCAATTGGATTTGTTGTTATTTTGTTTGTATTAAACAAAAACAAAAGTATTAACTCATTTGCATGTTTATGGTGCTACAAATTTTGTGGCTTAAATTGTAATTAATTAGCTAATTTATTGTTTTATTTTGTATTTTAATTTAATTCACTTCCTTAATCTATTGTTAATCCTTTTGTATATCAGGTTTTCACCATCATTTGGATATAATCACGGATCAACCAGTTGAATTTTCAAATGGATTTACAGATTTGGATTAGTGGAAAAGTGTTCAAATCTTATCTATATGATTATCATTAAGATTTTCAAACAATTATTAATATTTGTTAATCATCAACAACAATTAACATTTGAAGGTGATCATCGTTTAACTAACTTAATCATTTGACAGTGAAAAGTGAATGTATATTTATTGAGAGCAAGAAACCAAACAAGCTTTTAACAATCACGATTTATGATTGACTTGATTTTCTGTAACAATTAATGTTTGTATTTAAATTTTTTTGTATTTCTCATTCAAAATAGATCATCAAAAAGACTCAACTATCACATGGAAACAAATTGACTGTCAGAAATATACACAGTTGGATATAAATACAGTTATATAATCTAATCGATATCAATATCAATCTACAATTTGGGACAAGGTTAAAACATGAAGATGATTATCAATATTTGTCACCTTAATCCAAGGAAATTAATAACATTTCATCACATGTTATATAACATAAACACCTTAAATCAACACTTATCCTCCACCTAATCAACATTAGATTAGTTATTTACCTTTCGATAATCGCTTTCGATGAAAAGATCGAAAAGTGGCCTTGATATTATTATGATATATTCTTACCTTTTTAGTTTATTTTCATCTCTCTCTCTCACTATTTTTCCGTTCTTCTTGACCACTACTCTCACTGAACATTAACAAGATGACCTCGAACTTTGTCGTCCTTGTCTTTCGGAATCTCTCTCTCTCTTTTCCAATCATTTAGGACATAATCAATCACGAAACGAAATGACCTTATTGGTAAAGCCCTAATTACATCGTAACAATTTAACTTATCCCTTAAAGCCAATTTACTAGGAGGAAAAATGAATAGAAATTAGTTTTCACCATCAATTGGTCACCATCAAGATCGTCTATTATTATTACGCCTGATTTAACTTAATTGTATCAACATTTACAGTTAATCACATTTTCCATTATTGATTATCTCATCTTGGTAAAGTCAAACAACTTAATCGTATTGCAAATTGAATTCATTACAATCAATACAATCAAAGTAACTAAACTAAATCTAATCAACATCTATTGTATTGGTAACAACTTTTCCAATCATCATCAATGTGATTAACCATTTAGACTTAATCAGTTTCTGTTTACCCTAAATTTGTAACCCTGTTCACCCAATCGTATTGAAATATATATATTTATATGTATATTTACAGTTACAATTTATGTACTATTATTATTATGACAACAATTAAGCCCTCCCAAAGTTAATTGTCTATCATATATCACTAATACCTCCTTTTAATTAACTTTCTTGTCTGATTGTTGGTTACTGGTTGGACAAACTTTGTTATCACCTCACCTCCAACACTTAATTTCATTGATTGTTAACTTATTGGATTGTGAAATCCACTGATAATCAACTAATCTATCAATGAGTAACACTCATAATCTAATACAACTCGAGTCAATTCACAAATCATCTGATTAAAATGAACAACAATCAACGAAGAAAATTAAATCTTAAACATTATCATCTGATTATCAATCTTCATGATCCAATGAATATTATTTCATTTAATTTCAAATTCTGATGAGAATCTCATTTATCCTTAACGATAATCAACTAATTAAACTAACTATTCAACCTAATTAACGATCAATAACATTTTTGCAACTAATTTTTACATCAACAATTTAGTTGATCATTTATCTGGATAGTTGACTGGTTAACACAAACAACAATTAGTAAATTCTAGTCACAATAATTTAGATGATCAATTTACTAATTGAAGAATCATTTTCGCATTGGAAACTTAATCATTTTACTTTTTAATTGTTACAAATCTTAACAGTTAATTGTTTCTTTTTTTTATATAAGTATTGATACAAACATAGAATTAAGGAAAATATATATTAACTGAATTAATTGTTGGAATTGATTTTTTTTTTAATTTCTTCTCATTTCCAATCAATAGTAACCTCGATTTGATAAACAACTTTTTCTAATAACAATTAACGATTAGTTGATTATCTTTATTTCTGATTCCCTCTCATATATTATTAATTAAATTGTTCAATTTTCCAATCATAATCTGAATAATATTTTAATTCAATTAAAACGATTCTTAATCATAACCGGATATTCAGGAAGATTAATATTAATTTAATCGTCCGGTTTTAATTTTGTTTGTTTTTTTTTAATCTCACTAATTGTTGATTAGCAAAGTTTTTCAATGAATGAACTTGATTTTGCTTTTAAATTGTGATTCAACTAATCACTAATCATCTAATTAAACCATCAAAATACTTATGATTGATTATCAATGGTAATGATGATCACAAACCAACAACAATTGAGCTTAATCACTTTCATCAATTAAATCAAATGTAAATGAAAAAGACAATCAATAACCACTAGCATTGATATTTGATCAACAATTTAAAGTTAATTATTACCGATGATCATGTTAATTGTAACCTGAGATTAAATTGTGATTATTCAATTTTCTTCCTGTTCAATTACAATCAAATTAAATCTTGATCAATAATCCAGCAAACAAACAAACAAAATGAAACAAGAAAAATTGATTGTTTGTTATTAAATTTAAAATCTAATTTAATAACAAGAAAAATAAACTAATTACTATTTAAATGAAATAATCATTTAAATTGTTACTCTTGTGAAATGAGTTAAATTTAATAATGAAAAGGGTTAAGCAAAATTAACATACGATTGTTTGTAATTAAGTTAATCGTAGTGTCTGAATCGTGATCAAATTGAATTGGTTACAATCAAGAAACAATTAGTGATAGAATTGAGTGAAAAAAAAATCAGCTAATCAATATGATGATATCAATTGCGATAGTTAATTGTTGTTGTTGTTATAAGTTGTTAACCTTTCAACGATGACATTTAATTGCAATCAACAAAAAAAAAGGTTATCAACTAACCAAGAATTAAGAAAAGTTGATTTAACCTTAAGCTAAATTAACTTGTGATTAAAAAAACCCTAATTCCTGATTAACTGTGATCAGAACTAAATTGTTAATGAAAAGTGAAAGTGTGATTAGCAATATAATTTATCAGATGGGAAAGTATGATAACTGAATCAAGTTAATTGGAACAATTAAGAAAAAAGAAGTAAAAAATTAATAGTTTAGTTGAAGAAGGAGAAGAAAAAATTAATAATCAACCGATTATAATTTAAATTGTTGGACAGAATTCATCAATTATATGAACAATCAAACGAATGTATATTTAAATTAACTCGATAATTTGTTAAACAATCTAATTGTTTGCGAGCTAATCATGGTAATTAAGAGAAGGAGGTAGTTGATTAGAGATGAACCAAAGTTAATTAAATGTTACTCGTTATTGAAAAAGGTCCAACCTCGAAACTTGACCTACTCCCGAAAAGGTAAATTGTTTGTATGTCTTATCCACTTCCGTAGTTACCGATAAACATTCAATTCAGTTAATCATCAAGTTAATCATCATCATTATCAATATCATCATCACCTCTTTCAGTTATATGTGTACAATCAAATCATATTGATGACATTAAATCAACAATCAAGTAAGAGCGAGAGAGAGATTTGTTTGTAATTAAGAGACAAAATATATACTTTTTTTAATTATCATCTTTCTGTGTGTTTAAATTGTTATTAATTGTTGTTTTTGTTAATTTCACAAGTATTTATTATCAGTTAATTGTGAAAACGGAAAAACTATTATCAACGAATTGATAAGTAACTGTTGTTGTTGTTGTTGTGATTTTTGAGATGATGAAGATAATAGTGACCAGGGTCAATAAGAGTTAATTGTAATCGATAATAAATTCACCAATTAATAGTAATTGTAGTGGGTTTTTGGGTAGAGTGGGAAGAGTGAGAAGAGTGGGAATAGTGGGTGAGATTGGGGAGGAAGGTGAAATTTTGGAAGAGAAAAAAATTGTTGACAATCAACTGGGAGCAAAAAAAATAGATTTTGGTAAAAAAATAGATTCATTAGGTTAGAGAAAAACATAATTAACTAATTGACTTTCTTGAAATTCCCATTGGAATCATTCAGTTGTTGTTGTTGTTGTTGTTGTTGATTATTACATGAAGATGGTGATGCTGATGGAATTGATGATTTAGATGATAATCTTAATGATGATGTTGATGATGAAAGGGATGCGGTGAATCGATTGTAAGTTTTACGATAAAAATCACTGAATAGGAACCAGAATAAAATACCATGTGATCCAATCCAGAGACCGAAAATTTTGGGAAATGAACAATCGGGTTGTAAGAACAATTGGAATGAGTGAACTCCTATGGCCACGAATTGGATCAGTTGAAAAATGGTGAGATACTTTTTCCACCATAGGTAAGGTTTCATGGAAGGTCCGATCGCGGCTAAACCGTAATAAGTGTACATGATTACGTGGACAATTGAATTGATGAAACCGAAAAAGGTTGCATGCCCTCCGGGGACAAATTTGGCTCCCCACCAAACGGAGAAAGGTAAAAGTCCATGGTGGATAACATGAAGGTTAGAAATTTGATCGTTCTTTTTACGAACAACAAAGAAAAGGGTATCGGTAAATTCAACGAATTTCAATAAGAAATAAAAATAACAATTATAAACAATTCGCACGGCAATTGGATTAGATGAATAATCAACTGGATCACAGGTTAACGAAGTTCCTGGTTGAATCCAATGGTAAACAATCTCGGTGTAAACAACGAACGATGAACATGCGACCATCGTAAAATTATATATTATCATTGCCGTTCGAACCTCGAATGGCTTCCGGTGGGTCATTAAATTTGGTCCAATTTTTTTCACGAATAAAACATATGCAAGACAAATCGCTGCCACTGGAAATGGACTTGACATTAACGGTAAATTAGCGACTCGAGGGTCACCTTTTGATAGGAAATTATCAAACTCTTTCACTAAATAATTTAACATGTTCGTTTAATTTTGGTTAATGGTTTCTGGTGGTGTTCCAACAATTTGAATTGTAGTTGATTAATAAATGAATTGAGGGAGACAAGAAGGTGGAGATGATAAGTTAATGGGTGTTGGCTAAATCATCATCATTCTCAGGTTTAAATTAATTGGCGGGTATTTGTTAATCCAGTTAAATCACTTCACTACAGTAACAATTTAAATCTTTCTCTCAGTAGTGACATCTTAATTGTGGATAATCAGTTTAATTGTTGTTGTTGTTTGAGTTTTTTCTTCTTCTTCTATTGCTGTATCTTTGTCTTTTTAACTTTATCTTTACTTTTTTTCTGTTGATTTGTTAACATGATTAAACATTTTTCTTAATTGTATTGGTTAATTTGGTTCATTCTGTTGATTAAATTGTTCTCATCTTTTTTATTACATTTTATTGTAGTGATTTATCTTTGTTTCCCCTGTTTTGGCTTTCACCAGGAAATTGATTCTTTGTTAATTATGATACATGGAAATGGTTATAAATTAATTATCCTCGCTTCTTAGTTAATTAGGTTAACTTTTTATTCAAGTTAATTAGCAGCTTATTAATTTTTTCCCCTTAGGGATGAATCAGTTTCTAATTTCGCCATTTTCATCCCTTTATTTGTATTCTCTGGTTTAATTGTGGTTTAATAGTTAATTCCAATGATTAACAAGAAATTCGCTAATTGTAATGATAAGAAAAAAAAGAGAAATAAGATTTTCGTTTGTTCGAAAACCACCAGATGGCAGCGCATTCGAATTCTAATCGAACGCCATCTTTGTTTTTCTCATAAAATCCAAGATCCAAATTCTTGTATCCATTCAATAGATTTGATATTTTCTATCCTGATCCTTTGTCTTCAATCTCTTTCTTTCTCTTTCTTTTCTTAACATTTATCATCTTCTTATCTTCTCTTTCTTTTTTTTCAATCTTCTCTGTCTGGAATATTGTCTCCTTTCTGTCTAATTTTTTCACCGTCTCTTTCTTTTCTTCTGTTTTTTCGCCCGGTTCTCGTGGATTTTCATCATCATCATCATCATCCTTTCTCTCTCTCTTTTTCTCTCTTTTTCTTTTTCTTTCTCTTTCGTTGAGATTTTATATTGAATGTGATGATCATGTTTCATTTCCTCTCATCTTCTTTCGGCCTAAATTCTCTCTCAGTTGTAACACGTCTTTTACATCATCATCTTTCGTCTTTATTCTTTTTTAATGTTATTGATATAAAAAAAATTTTATTCTAATTTGGTTTAGTTTTCTAAGCAAACAAAGCGACACAATAATAAGGAATTAAATTTGTATTTAATATTTACATATACGGAGAGAAGATCAACCAAAAAAGGAAAAATAATTCTATTCTACGGTTTAGTTCTTTGTATTATATTCGTTGTGTCTTTGGGTTACCTTCACTTCACCGGTTCTACCAACACAACACCAGAATATCTTGACAAGATGACCAAAGATATTGAGATGAAGGATGATTCGGATACCAAAGCTGTTGAATATGAGAATAATGTTGCTGCGGTTGACAAATTGGTTAACCAGGAATTAGTAGAAGGTGATTTCTGGTATGTTTTGGATAACAAATGGTTCCAAACGTATAAACAATTTTTACAATCCTGTATTGCTGTTAATAATCCAGGTCCAATTGATAATAGTGACCTTTTCACCGAAACCAATTATTATAAGAAAATTAAAGAGAAATTGGTTGAAGCTGAAGATTTCGTTTTTGTACCCGAACAACTTTGGAAAGGTCTTGTTAAAGAATTTGGTTTAACTAATGAGAAACATATCATCAAACGTAAAGTGATTTCTCGTCCAACTGCTCGATCACAATACAAGTTCCTTGAACTTTATCCCATTGAATTAAAATTATGCCTCCATGGAACTAAACATGAGAACATCAAAGAAAAATATAGTCAAATAACAACTTTAAAAGAATTGGAAAACGAAATGAAGTTTCTATTTAAAGTTGATGAAAAAGCAGAAACTCAACTATGGGCGTGTGGTAGCGTGTTGAATGCTTACGATCCTGAATCGGAATCCAAGAAGAATGATGATAAAGCTCTAATAGACGCCGGTCTCGAACATGGGTCAATTGTCACTTTAGGTAAGATAATTTTCGCCGAAAACAATCAATTTCTCTCAAATCCATCACTTGTTGAATGAGTAAATTTCCTCTTGAAGGATATTTTTATCATGTCATTTTCATTTGCTCAATTTAAAAGTTGAATGAAATCACTTTGAAATCTCATTCAACTCAATCTCTTTTCTATTTTTCTCTTCTCTTCTTTTTTCGAGTTAATTTTTAACATTCTTCTAATTTTACTATTATTATCTCATTTGTTGTTTTCTTCTTCTTTTCTCTTTCTCTCTTCAGAGGTTCAAAATGCTGATGGCACATGGCCAAGTAGTCGACCTCGTTTTGGTGCCATCGCCACTCGATCTTCAAAAACAACCCCAGGTCTTTGTGGATTAATGAATCTTGGTAATACTTGTTTCATGAATAGTGCCCTTCAATGTTTATCCAATACCCCGATATTAACTGAATACTTTATCGCTGATAAATATTGGGATGAATTAAATGTTGATAATCCTCTTGGAATGGGCGGTGAGATTGCAAAAACTTTCGGTGATCTAATTAAAGCAATGTGGTCCGGTCAGCATACATTTCTATCTCCTCGTGAATTTAAACAAGCAGTGGGCAAATTTTCACCACAATTCAGTGGATTCCAGCAACAGGATTGCCAAGAATTGATGGCCTTTCTCCTTGATGGTTTACATGAAGATCTAAATCGTGTTAAAAAGAAACCATATATTGAAATTAAACAAGAGATCGATAAAAGGCCTGATTCCATTGTGGCCGCTGAATCATGGTCTAATTATCTGAAAAGAAATGATAGTATAATTGTTGACATTTTTCACGGTCTTCTTAAATCAACCTTAGTTTGTCCAGAATGTGATCTTGTCAGCGTAACATTTGATCCCTATTGTTACCTGTCTCTACCGTTACCTGTTAAAAGAGAGAGACCTGTTGATGTGATGTTTGTGCCTGCAAGACCAATAACAGTTGGACCAGAGAAAAAAATTAAACGGGTTCTTAAAATATGTAAACTAATGGTACCCAAAGCTGGTATTGTTTTAGACATTTGTAACGCTGTTTCTAAAACAATTAACGAAAGTAAAGAAGTTAATGGGCTAACAGTGAATCCGTCTAATTTAATTGTCACCGAAGTAAATAATTGTCGTCTATCCAGAATTTATAATCAAGATGATTCTTTCACCTCAAACACTGATGAGTTTGTTATTTTTGAAAAGCTTGACGATTATACAGCTTTACCTGTTTATCTAAGATGGGATAAAGGTGACGAATCAGCATCTCTTTTTGGTAAACCCTTCTTCGTAAATATTAAAGAGTGTACTTATGAAGCATTGTACAGTGCAGTGAAAAATTATGTGGAAACATTGATGGAAGAACCAACAACAACAACAACAACTAATACACCAAAAGAAACTACTCAAACTTCAACTGATGGTGACGATGAAATGATTGCTGCTGCCAATTCAGATGAAAATGAGGCTATAACTAGTACTCAATTAAATCATAAATCAACATCACCTACATCAACAGCAACCACGGCATCTTTATCATCATCTTCAAGCCCATCAATAGTAACCAATACCTCACCTTCAACTTTACCACCAACAACAAGTAATAGTGATGAAAACGATCAACCCATGGAAGTTAAAGAGGAAAATGAAATAAATGGTGATGATAAATCATTTACTTTAAAGTTAATCAATAGTTTTGGAACTATGCCTATAGGAGAAATAGAGAAAGATAAACCATTGGAATTGGGAATTAAAACTTACGTTGCTGCTGATTTTTCCAAACGATTTAAGATTCGTTCATTTGATAATGAAGAGATCACATTACGTGTGAATATACAAAAAAATGCAAATTCAGCCTCTAAATCACATGATCTAAGTGAATGCATTGAACAGTTTACAACCGTTGAAAGACTTGGCGAACATGATCTATGGTATTGTCCAAGATGTAAAAAGCGGCAACAAGCATCAAAAAAATTCGATATCTGGTCTTTACCGAAAGTAGCAATTTTCCATCTAAAGAGATTCTCTTATTCTAAATATTGGAGGGATAAATTGGATACATTTGTCAACTTTCCCAAATACGATTTAGATTTGGGACAATATCTCATCAATAATCCTAACAAAGAGAAAATCTTGTATAATCTGGTGGCGGTTGCCAATCATTATGGTGGCCTAGGGGGCGGACATTACACCGCTTACGGTAAAAACAAGGAAAACTCAACTTGGTATCATTTTGATGATTCTAATGTAACACCGGCTACTGAAGAAAGTGTTATATCGAAAGCTGCTTATGTGCTGCTGTATCTTCGTCAAGATTGATGGCAAAACTGGAAAGCAAAGAAAAAACAATAATGAAACTCAATTATAATAGAAATTCAATTGTACTCGATTTGTTTGCTCTTTCTTAATATATTTTCGAGAAGCAGAACAATTAATTGATTTTTCTCTTTTCGAAAGTTAAATCAACTTTTGGATGTTACAATGATCTCAATGATTTCGAACTTTTATCTTGATATTCTATTAATATCTTCGTTATTTGCTGAGCATTTTCCTTTAATTCTTAATTTAGTTAGAACCATTTTCGGATCAACTTGTTTCTCACTTTTGGATTATTTCCAAAAATCGAGCTTCTTATTACATCATAAATACTTTTTTCTTTTTCCTTCCTTTTCCTGTCTGATTTTCTATTCAAAAAGGATAATGATGATATGAATGATTCTTTTTCTGGAAACAATTTAATTCTATTATCAACTAATTGTTGTGTAGGAGTTTAATTGTTGTCTCTTTTACATGTAATCAGTTACAACGATAATATTGATTTAGGCTTGATTCCAATCTAAACGTTTACTTTTAACTCAATCGTCTGATCATTTTCAATCAAGATATTCATTAATTACACAAATATAATCTTGTATCAAGTTTATTAATTAACTTGGGGGAAAAATTAACTAATAAATTGATTGTCATCTAATATTTTATTTAATTTCAACTTGGATTCAATTACAATATTAAGTTGAGTGATTACAATTGAAATCGCTTACGAAATCAATCAATTGACTGTCTAAAACACAAGTTGATTAATTTAAATTACTATTAGAATTAGTTCAACACTGAAATGATTAGTTGGTTAAGAAAATTGGATAATTAATTGTGAGTTTAATTTTCTTGTCGGTGAATTTGATCAGTTTGAATTTGGCGCTTTACTTTTTTTTGGATTTTCAGTTTTTTGAATTGATTTTTTTTTTCTTTTCATTTAAATTGTCACCTGAGAATTGTTTTGATTTTACTTGTGGTGATTTTATTGGTTTCTTTTCGTGATTAATTGTCTTTTTTTTATTAGATTGTAAGTAAAGCAATGGCCTATCATGAGTATAACCACGATGCGGTTAAAAAACGTCGTTTGGAAGCTGAAATGGATAAATTTGAAAAGGAAATTTCAAAACCTGGTCTAGTTGTTGGTCAGCCGACTGTTGGTTATCCTACTGTTTTACCCGCGGCTAATTCATTGTATCAATTTATTCCTCATCAAATTCAACGACAAGTACCATCCATGAACAGGGTTGGTCCTCCTCCAATGCATGCTGGTGGTTTGGGTGTCCCAACAAATGGCTCAGTTATAACTGGATTGACACCGGGAGTACCTTTATCTGTGGGTCATAATAAGATGACCAATATTAAAGGATTCCAAGCGATTAATACTATGGCTATTGGTTCACCGATTCCAGGACCTTCAACGGGTAATCCAAGTTACACTGTTACACCAATGGGACTACCTCCGGGTGTTTCTCTGGCTTCTTTAGCTTCAAATTCATCTACTCCGGGTACATCAGGAACACCCACGAAAAAAGGCTCCAAAAATGTTGACAAAAGTTCCAGTAAAGTAAAGAAATGTCTTAGAGCTGCGGGTGGACAAATTTGGGAAGATAATACACTCACTGAATGGGATCCAGATGATTTTCGTCTTTTTGTTGGTGACCTGGGGAACGATGTTACCGATGAAGTTTTAACTCGAGGTTTCAGCAAATACACTTCATTTGTAAAAGCGAAAGTGATACGAGATAAACGTACAAACAAATCTAAAGGCTATGGTTTCGTTAGTTTCAAAGATCCAACCGATTATATCAAAGCAATGAGAGAAATGGATGGTAAATATCTCGGCAGTCGACCAATTAAATTGCGAAAATCAACTTGGAAAGAACGAAGTTTAGATATTGTCAAAAAGAAGAACAAAGAAAAGGCCAAATTTCTATCAACTTAATCATATTGCACGCAAAAAGATTCCCCAAATCAATAATCAACAAACCCCAACAGGAAAACAACAACAACAACAACCAAATCCATTTGTAAATTAATCACAAACAATTAACTGTCAAGAAAAACAATTTTTGTAAATGAAAAAAAAACTGTAATATCTTTTACCAATCATATTACACATTAACCTGATCCGTCAATTAATTATAACAATTAATTGACTGATCACCCATTAAATGGTCAAACTATCACAAATGGTGATAATTAATTGTAGAGAATTGAAATTTAAATTGTTCCAAAGATAATCATCTCTCCAATCGATAGTATCGATGTTTCAATGAAGTATTAAGGGAGTGTGAGCTTTGGATTTTGCTTACGATAGACTAATGTGTTTACCCGGTTCCAAGTTGATTGTGTTTACTTTTTTGTTTATTCTTTTTGATTGTTAATTAATTTTCTTTATTCTAATTAGCATTTAAAGGTCACCTGGTCACTAAGTAATGGAAGAAGAACCTCTGAGAGGACAACGTCCATTAATACTTCGCCTTTTCACAGCATTCGGACAGGTAAAGTCTCTAAATAGCTTTTTTTTTATTTCTCCATTTATGTCTAGTGATGTGTTTTTATTTCGTTTAGAGTTTTTATTTCATTTCATTTTCCTTTAATTTTTTTTTTCTATTCTTTTTATACTGGTTGATTATATGTAGATTATTGGGTTGATGATTGATTTTCTAATTCTAATCCTTTTGTATTTTGTTTCTCTTTCATCTGTCAACAGAGATACCAAAGTCTACTTGATGCCTGGACTCCTCATACTACTGGTAGATGGATATTTTCAGCTATATTATTAATTGTCTATATGGCGAGAGTCATCATTGGAGAGGTAATTTTAATTGTTCTAAGTGAATTAGTTTACCACAATTTGGGTACAAGTGTGTCCATGTTTATGTGCGTGTGTTTGTGTGTTTCAATATCAAAGGGATGATTAAGTGTTAATCCATTGGATATGATTAACACTATGGTGTTAGATTTGCATCAAGTGAACATTTAATTGTTGTTCATTCTTTCATCATCTTAATTTTGATATTCTTTTTTTTTTGTTCTTTTCTTTTTCTCTAGGGCTGGTATATTGTAACATATGCTCTCGGAATCTATTATCTTAATCTTCTAATTGCCTTTTTGACGCCCAAAGTTGATCCAGCTCAAGGAGATGATGATTTAGGTAAATTGACTAACCTTTAATATGTAATTTCCATTGTTTTAAATTGACATAAAACTGTCAATGGGAACAAAAAATGTTCCATCATCAGCAACAGTTGAATTAACCTTTTATGGTATCAATTGATTGTTTTCCATTACCTTTATTTTCACAAATCATTTTATTTGATATTTTAATGATTTTCTTTTAATTTTCATTGATTCAGATGACGAGATGAGCCTTCCCACTACCAGAGATGAAGAGTTTAGACCTTTCATCAGACGTTTGCCTGAATTTAAGTTCTGGTAAATATCAATAAACCTCAAAAGTCAATACATCCAATCGATATTTAAACAATTGTCTCATTCTAATTTGATTCCACAGGCATTCAGCTACCAAAGCTACACTGATCGCTATGTTTTGTACATTTTTCGAAGCTTTCAATATTCCTGTATTTTGGCCTATTCTATTGGTATACTTTTGTACACTTTTCGGTATCACCATGAAACGACAAATTAAAGTAAGTCACACACACACACACACAACCATACAGCTATTGATACGTATCCAATTAAGATGCTCATCTAATTGATTGTTATTCTGTTTTTTTTCCTACTCTTTTAGCATATGTATAAATATAAATATCTACCATGGACTCGAGGAAAGACAAGATACCAAGGGAAACAAGATACTGGGAAAGTTATTCAGACCAAGTGAGGAACTAAACAGAACAGATAAACAAAAGAAAACCTCGTTAGTCAATTTACACACATTTACATGATTACGATTCGGTTACCCACCATTAAAACACAATTAACTTATCACAATCAATCTCACTCTAAATTGTTCAATTTGTTTAATTGTAGTTCTACTTTGATTAGTGCCTGTTCAATTCGCGAAATCTATTACCTTTCCAATCTCACTGATTATTGTCCATTATTATCATTACCCCTTTTTTGATTAATTTTCCCGATTTGTTTTTTTGTTATTAATCCAATCATCTAATTATTTGTCCTTTTCTTCAATCAATTATTATTACAGCAATGCAATTACATCTACGGGGATTGCAAGTGGATTAGTGGATCAAGTTTGATTTCCATAATTAACTTTGATGATTCTGGTCCAAGGACCTGTTTTCTTTTTTTATTATTTAACAAAACAATCAATTTATTGGAAAGAAAAATTTTGTATCTTAATTGGTTAAAGATTAACTTAATTACCGCACTACAGAAAATGATTTAATGAGGAAAACATTCAAAGCGGAAAGAAAAAAAAAGTTGGTAATACAAATCGAAAGAAAAACTAATTGTCAATCAAAGAATCCGAGAGAGAGCAGCTAATTAAACAATCTAAAAGATATTAGCTGGTAATTTGGAGAATCTAATTTAATTGTAACATTTTCCATGTGCAATTTTAATCAAAGTTTCTAATGATTAACAACAAACTGTCCAAGAAGGAAAAATTGATTCAATTTTCTTTCCTCTTGTTATCATCAGAATAAGTGTATTCTCATAGTTAATTTGATTCCTCTAAATTGATTCAACGAAAAGATAATTGTTCTCATGGTAATTCAATTACGAACAAAGAGAAATGAGCTGAACAATTAATCGATCATCAATTTTAAAATTTCCAATTCAAAAGTTCAACAATTCCCATCTTACAATCTGTTTTAATTATGTTCTTTTCTTTCAACTAATCTCATTTATATTGTCACTTATATTATTATATTTAAATGATTATCAATTTTGCAATTTAAAAAAAAGAAACGTCAACAATTTAATATTGACCAAATCAGGGAAATAAATGATTTATCAAAGATACGAACATGTGAACAAATAATTAAACCCAGTGAATTATTTCAATTAGTTAATTGTAGCAACAAAAGAAAGAAACATTGATTGGAATCTCCAAATTAGTGAGTAGATTAATTTTCCCTCTTAATTGTTAAGTTAATCATCTTTCTTGTTGTACTTTTTGTATGCTCGCTTTCGAGTAGCTTCAAGTGTGTTCATTGAAATTTTGGACATGAAATCTTCACTGGGAGCGATACAATTAGCGAAATCGGTGATACAACCGTACAATTTGTGAGCCCAAAAACCATAAGTTCGAGTTTCAAGTCCGACGGTTGATAAGGACGATCGTACAAAAGCCTTGGGTGTCGGTGTGGTGATCGAAGGTCTCATTCGACTCATGGTGGTGGCAACGAAAGCGGGGAGAACACTTTGAATTGTGATTCCTTTGTTTAAGTATTCAAGTTGTAAGGATCGAGACAAATAATCGACATAGACTTTGGTAGCTGAATAAACGGCCAACAATGGAGTGGGCAGTGAACCGGCATAAGAAGAGATATTGATGATGATTCCTCTTCGAGCGGCCTCCATTTTGGGAAGAATCAAATGGGTCATCTTGGTGACCGAGATTATGTTGATATTAATCAGATTGTCGATAGTTGAAGATTCCAATTTGGTAAAGAAATCGGGATAAGAGTAAGAGATACCGACATTGTTCACCAGGACATCGATTGTACCATACAAAGAATTGATCTTCTCCTCGATTTTCGTGTAATCCGTTGAGCTGAAGTCAAAGGCAAGAGTCTCAACCTTACGAGCCTTAGGGCAATCGTTTTTAATGGAATCAGCAACAGTCTCCAACTTGGATTGAGTTCTTGAGATCAACAGTAAATTATATCCTTTGTTAGCTAATTGTTTACCATATTCAAGACCAATTCCATCGGTTGAACCTGTCACAACGGCCCAACTATCAGGTCCAGGTCGCCATTTAACACCTAAGCCAAAGGTTGGAGCCAATAGATTAGTATAAACAAGACGAATCACTTTGAATAGAAACCAAACTAGAAATGAATACCAAACAGTCCGACCCAAACAATCATAACAAGCCATTTTCAATACCTTCTTAGTCCGGATTGAGGCCAAAGGAATAGATGAAAAAATATAGAAAAGGTAAGAATCAAATCAACTGAAATCAAGAAATTTAAACACAAAAAGAAACCCAAACCAATTCAACCAAAGCATAGAAATTACAACTCACCTTTTCAAGATAATTTCAAGGTAAATATTAAGATTACGTTGCTGAGATAATCTTCCTCTCGAGTCAGTGAATTAACTGACAACTTATTAATTAGATTAAAAAAATTAATTAACACAAAAGAAATAAAAAAACAGAAAGACTTGTAACCGGGTAAACACTTTAATCCATCGTAAGCAAAATCTAATCCACTCTTCAGATTAATCTGACATCGATACTATCGATTGGAAGGAAATATTTTCAATTAAGAAAAAATAAAATTCGATGAATTAAAATGATCACATTGATTCACTATTAATTTAGTTGTTCGAAGTTCAGGTCAAGCCAAAAGTCCAATTCGTCGGTAAGCATTGACTGCGTTTCTCTTAACGATCAGAGTCCAAGTCGTTATGGTTCAAATTCACCTAATACGGTAAATGGATTAGTTTTAATTTCGTTGAGAAATTTTATATTAGAACTGAATTTATTTCGAATCGATATTTTTGAGTGATTGATTGACTAATTGATTTCACCTTTAGATCATTGATTTTGTAATTAAGTCGATTTGAGAGTCTTCTCAGAAAAAAGTTTGTTGCGAGAGAAAAATATCAAAATCAAGAGTTCGAACGTCGATTCGATATAATTAAGGCCATTTCGAATTACCTGTAAAAGGTTTACCGGATCGCAAGAATTTCTCTTCGAACTTGAATTCCAATTGGATGGTAATTAGATATCAACACGCGGTTATGATTATTGTTATTTGAATAGAAATGATTTATTTGTAACAAAATTTGGTTTTTTGAAAAAAAATTCATTTGATTTAAAATCAAAGTAATTGTATTAAATTATTTCATAGATTTTACCAGCAAAAAATTGATACCACGAAAAAAATAGTCACCAGATTCCCACGAGTATCGAAACAGGCTGAACATCACTGACGTTGATGTTGGTGGTGTTTGATTATCACAATTAACACTGATTAAGTGTCTTTCTTATTATGCTTTTTATAAGCTTTTCTCCGTAATCCTTCAAGTGTTTTCATTGAAATTTTGGACATGAAATCCTCGATGGGAACAATACAATTAGCTGTGGTTGTGACGCAACCGTACAATTTGTGGGCCCAGAATCCGTAGGTTCGTCTTTCGATTCCAACGGTTGCAAGAGTCGCTCGAACGTAAGTTTTAGCTGAAGGTGTGGTCAACGAGGGTCTCATGCGACTCATGGAAGTGGCAACGAAAGCGGGAAGAACACTTTGAATTACGATTCCTTTTCTCTCATATTCCAAATATAAAGCCCGAGATAAATAATCGACATAGACTTTGGTAGCTGAATAAACGGCCAACAATGGAGTGGGCAGTGAACCGGCATAAGAAGCGATATTGATAATGATTCCTCTTCGAGCGGCCTCCATTTTGGAAGAATCAAATGGGTCATCTTAGTGACCGAAATTATGTTGATATTTATGAGCTTTTCGGTAGCCGATGAGTCCATTTTGGTGAAATATTCTGGATATTCATAAGAAGCACCAACATTGTTCACCAGAACATCAATATTACCATACAAAGAATTGATCTTCTCCTCGATTTTCGTGTAATCCGTTGAGCTGAAGTCAAAGGCAAGAGTCTCAACCTTACGAGCCTTAGGGCAATCGTTTTTAATGGAATCAGCAACAGTCTCCAACTTGGATTGAGTTCTTGAGATCAACAGTAAATTATATCCTTTGTTAGCTAATTGTTTACCATATTCAAGACCAATTCCATCGGTTGAACCTGTCACAACGGCCCAACTATCAGGTCCAGGTCGCCATTTAACACCTAAGCCAAAGGTTGGAGCCAATAGATTAGTATAAACAAGACGAATCACTTTGAATAGAAACCAAACTAGAAATGAATACCAAACAGTCCGACCCAAACAATCATAACAATCCGTCATTGTGGAAATATTATTGTTCACTAATCTCTTGGATTAAATTGTTCAACTTAAATTTAAGGTGAAATCCTGGTAAATTATCACGGAAACAATGAGAGTTGTTGATTGTTGGTAGCAAAGCAACAAACTGAATCGGTTTAACTAATTGCAAAGAGAGAGAAAGAAAAGAAAGAGAATCTGGTTATTGAGAGGAAAGAAAGATAAAGAAAGAAATAAGATGACGTTTACTTGAGAAAAGAAAACAAGTTTCACAATTAGAATTAACCAGGTAAGTAGAATGATTAAAAATGATGATTAGTCGAAATTCAATTTAATGATTTCTGTCAATTTCTGACAGTTAACTTTGAATTTATGTAAAAAATCATCGATTAGTTTGATTGGTTTGTAGTAAGTTGAAAACAACGAAAGTTATTGGAAAGTTAATCAACTGATTGTGAAAATTATCTTTCTCTCTACAATTAAATCAACACTCATTCTAAACATGGTTATTATTGGATTGTCATTTTAATTGTTTGTTTGTTTCACCTACAACATGTTCCAATACAATTGGTTGATTTTCTAGCCTTGGTTAATTGTTGCGAGAAAATTTGAAAGTTTGAGGAAACACAGAGAAATAAATTGTTACAACCAATAGTTGATTATTTAAAAGGAAGTTGCAAAGATAAACTCAATGATAATTGTTATTTATAAACGTAAACAACAATCATAATTAAGGAAAGAGTAAAATTTAATAATTACCTTGATTTTTTTTTCGTTCATTGATTTTCAGGCTTGCGAAAAGTATTAAAGTTCATTTCCAACTAATTTAGAATAGAGTTAATTTTTCGACCTATTGATTAACCTGAAAATCGAGAAGAAAAAAAATTAATTGCTTTGGAATAGAAAGAAATTAAAATCAACAATTATTCTATTAAAATGATTATCGCTAGATGGAGCTACAAGTTCCTGTGCGAAAACAATTTAATTGTTACAATTAAATTGAATGAAACAAAGATGATTTGATCGATTTAATTTCGATGCAAATCAAATTGATTAAAATGATCAGAAGTCTAAAGAAGAAAGAAAAAATAGAAATTAGAATGGAAAATGATTGGAAATCTATTGGCATATTTACCTGATCAATTGTGATCAAATTTTCACAATACCAGTAATTTATTGAATAATCATTTGATTATCCAATAAATTGTACAATTAACAAAATTGCCAATCAAAGTTTCATAGTAGAATCAATGAAAACGTTTGATAGGCTTCATTGTTAACTTAATATCAATCACTAGTCTATTGTATTCATCAGGAAGTTTTTATCATCTCCATTGAAATGATTAAATTGATTGTGAACATTGATTAACATGATTGATATCAATAGAGATTCCATATTTTATCCAGTCTTGAATAGACGATGTTCCAGGATGATTAACTTTCGATCATGTAAATTAACTTGTATATCTCGAGTTTCCATTAAGTTACCGGCAGAATTGAGCTTCGAACACTTTGATTTATAAATCGTAAGCTTAGTGAGTTGTGATTAAAATTGTTCTGCAAAAGAAAATAGAGAAAAACTTAACCAATCAAAAAGGATTTTTTATCTTCTCATCTGATTGTTAACACAAGAATTTAGATGAACAGGAAAAAAGAGCTAATAATCAAAGCTTAAAGAGAAAAACCTTTTCAACAGTGATTGTAAAGAAGCTTAAACTAGTTACCATGTTCAGTTATTTTCGAACTACATCTTAGAACTATCATCTTTATCATGCAAGTTCGATGTTCTTTGAGAGAAAAATCCATGATAAAGTATAACAACAACTGTAGAGGTAAATGTTTTCCCTTCTTTGGATAACCAATAGACAACAAACTAAAGTTTATCTTTGATATTATTCAGTAATGAGCCATGAGTAGAGTGGGGATTTGACAGATTATCATGGAAGGTGAATGAAGGGAGAAAAAACTTTGAATCTCTTTCGATATTCGTTATTTTTGCTCTTCGATCAACCAGCCAAATATCAGCAACATCTTTAGTAATAATAACCACAGGAACCAATCATGTTATAAGTTTCCAGTTCTTGGAGATGATGATTAAGAAGATGGAGAAAAAATCATTTAGCTAAAAGCAGGAAACAAGAAAAGCAAAAATCAAGCATCATTATTAGTATTAATACAGAAACATAAATATTATCAACTCTATTAAGAGGTGGGAGTTACATATTATCCAAGTATAAATGATGTTTGTGAGTGAGAAAGAGAGAGAAAAAGTAATGATGATGATGAGGGAGGAAATGCAAAGGTAGCAAATCAAATGATTCTGATTAATTTGATGAAAATTTACCTGTTATTCAATGGAGAGAAAATGATAAATATGAAAACATTTATGTCAAAATATGATAACACGCATTTACTTTTATCAGAATCATTGATTACCAGCATTCTCTTTGTTTTCATCTTTTATATTTGTATTTCCTTCTCATCTTTATCATCAACATTTTCCACCCAAACTCCTTCGCTCACATCCTGGGCTTGATTTTCTTTTCTCTTCTTCCTCTTGTGTCGTCTCTCCTTTTCTCTTTAAATTCTCTTTTTCCTTTATTTCGCCATCATTTTCTCCTCTCCTTTATTTTCCTTCATCTTCCTCCTTTTCCTTTTCCTCTCATCTTCTTCTTCTTCTTCTTCTTTGGTGGTGGAAGTCCCTCTCATCCGAAAATCTCTGCTCAACTGTTGCTGTGAAATGTCAGTATATTATTTTGTAACCTAGAGAGAGAGAGAGAGAGAGAGAGAGAGAGAGAGAGAGAGAGAGAGAGAGAGAGAGAGAGAGAGAAATTTATTCTATGAATAAATATTACGCTTTCAAGATCATTTTCATGTAAATTGTTACCCAACCAATGGAGGTTTTTATCATCCGGCTAGAAAAGAGAAGAAAAAAAATAGAAATAATAAAATCTTTGATAAAGATGAAATGATTTGGTAAATGGTATTAGAAGCAAATCAAGGTGAATCAAGGTAAAAAGGCTTATGCATTATTATAATATTAGTAAGAATCAAGGAAAATAAATGTTGAAATTTTTTCCTAAATCAAATTAGGCCTTCGCCTTAGAAACTCACTCATAATCAGTTGAAAATCTATACAAATGCTAATGTTGATTCAAAATCGCATTTCTCTCTCCTTCTCTATCCTTTTCTCTCATGAATCTTTCTTCATGCAATAAACTCAAGTGAGTATAACACTTTACCAAATATACTTACATGAATGAATGAATAAACCATTGAATAAAAAAGGCTAAATGAAGAGAGAGAGAGAAATATGAATGAATATGATACCCAAAAATAATGAAGGTGAATAGATTATCACAAGTTAGAGGTTATTATTATTACTTTTCTCATAATATTAATCCAATTGCAATAACAATTGTCAATTGAGTGTAAAATCAATTAAATAATACATATTTATATAGATAATGAATCTGTTCATGTAACAATAATGTAAAAATCAACTTACCAGAGCTTAGGCCTAAGACCATTGTTGTTAATCACCTAAAGATTAACTTTGACGATTATTGATTAAATTGATGAAAGTGATGCCAGTGATCAAATCAGGCGAATAGTCGAGAAATAAATTGAAATATTTAAAGTAAATAGAAGATTAAATTGGTAAGAGTTAATTTAGATGAGAATCACAATCAAATCAACCAAACAAAATGAATTGGAAAATATCATAAATTGATTGACACATTTAAGGGAATAAATATTCACAAAGAAATTTAATCAACACCAGACACTGGAATCAGATAATTAACTGTGAAATTTGGTGGAAATAAATTGCTATTAACATGAAACGAACAATTTAACAATAAAATCAATTGATTATCAAGTGAAATATGTGATCGGTTAAAAAGTGAACAGATTTTCAAGTTAACCCCTTTTTTTATTAACTAATTTTCCCTTTAGAATTTTTTTTCCAAAAAAAAAAAAAGTTAACTTGATTATCTTAACACTCATTGGAATCAATTTGTATGTTAATGTTTTTATTTGTTAATTTAGTTCGTCTGATTGTGTTTTCCCATCGAATTGATTATCATCAGGAGAAAAAGAAAATAGAATATACAATTTATTCTAAGTTACCCTTTTTTCTTCAATTCTAATCATAAGTCATCATCAACAGTCAACATTAACTGTTCATCATTTGGAATCTTTTGTTACCGTTTATTTGATGTTCTTTACAACATTGTGATTATCTTATTGAGAAATTGGATGAGAGAGAGAGAGAGAGAGAGAGAGAGAGAGAGAACATTATTGATAAAATTGTTACTTTTCATCGACTAAATTAAGTCTCGTTGCAAATTGTAATTTATTCTTATGAGAGGTAATACAATTGGGGTGATCAATGTTGAAAAAGAAACATTTCAATTTCATTTTCAATTTTTCTCTTTTTTCTATGTTCTTTTCTCATCAAAATCTATGGTGGAAATGAAATTTTATTAGAAAAGAAAACAGTAATCATCATCTTTTCAAGGTAAGAAGAGTAAAAGTAGAAAGTAGTGGCAATTAAAATTCTTAGAGTTGATTTTGTCTTCACCGATTCTTTTCCTTGTGAATATCTCATATCATCCATCTGATCCTTTTACTCTTGTTTTTTTATTACAGGAACAAAATACAAGGTGAAACTTGATACATATTCTTAATCATCATCTTATACAGACTGGGATTTCTCTCTCTCTCTCTCTTTTTCCATCATGATTGGTAATAAAAGCGACACAGGAATTATGATACACAGAAGATTTGAAAGCCAGTGGAAAGCTGAAAGATTGAACAAAATTGAAGCCATTACCGTTTGCTGATTAAGGAAGATACTCAAAAGGATGACCAAAAAGATTGCAAGATAATCAATGTTGTCGATGGTCAAATGACTGTGCTGATGAATCTTATTAATTGAAAGTAAACCATCAAATCACTATCAGCAGAAAATTGTTTCCATGTGTGTGTGTATTCATTTTCATCGTTGTTTTTTTCAAGTTTCAAATTTTCCAGATGAAAAACAATTTAGGAATTTTTTTTCTGCTGTTGCTGTTGATTTTATATACCTGATCTTACTCAGCATTTTAATTTTGCTGATTACATCAAAGATAATGGCAATTTCCCTCTTTGAACACTTTTTTCTTGCCTCAACTCTTCCATCTCATCTTTTTCACCTCTCTCGCTCTCTCACTCTCTCATTCTCATTCTCTCTCTCTCTCTCTCTTTTTCCATCATGATTGGTAATAAAAGCGACACAGGAATTATGATACACAGAAGATTTGAAAGCCAGTGGAAAGCTGAAAGATTGAACAAAATTGAAGCCATTACCGTTTGCTGATTAAGGAAGATACTCAAAAGGATGACCAAAAAGATTGCAAGATAATCAATGTTGTCGATGGTCAAATGACTGTGCTGATGAATCTTATTAATTGAAAGTAAACCATCAAATCACTATCAGCAGAAAATTGTTTCCATGTGTGTGTGTATTCATTTTCATCGTTGTTTTTTTCAAGTTTCAAATTTTCCAGATGAAAAACAATTTAGGAATTTTTTTCTGCTGTTGCTGTTGATTTTATATACCTGATCTTACTCAGCATTTTAATTTTGCTGATTACATCAAAGATAATGGCAATTTCCCTCTTTGAACACTTTTTTCTTGCCTCAACTCTTCCATCTCATCTTTTTCACCTCTCTCGCTCTCTCACTCTCTCATTCTCTCTCTCTCTATCTTCATCATCTGTTTCCTTCTTTTTGGAGCCTTTTTTGATTAATTTTCAATCTCTGATCTATGTTACTACTTTCTCCTAATTTCTTGTAATACTTTCTCTTCTTTCTCTTCTTTTCGTTTTTTTCTTCTTCTCTAACTACAGACTCCTTGTTTTCTTCATGGTTTCAGTTGAATGCACGAGATAGGAACCAATATTGAGAACCAGTAGAATTAAAAACATGGAAGGTTTTTGATTAATCGACCGGTAGAAGAAGCAAAAGAGGAAAAAAGGAAAAAGATACAATACAAAATTGCGTGTTTTTCATCAATTGATGTTACATTATAATGGTCAAACTGGATCAAAGGTCAAAGGAAGAAAGAGAAAAAGATAAAGAGAAGAGATCAAGTTTCCATATTGAATCATTTGAGAATATCCCTAGCTAATTGTTTCTTATTTTAATTGGTTCATCATCATCATCATCATTTTGGTCTATGTGTTTTCCTCACATAGGAAAGACCTAAAAAAAGTATCAACTCATCAAAATCATCAAATTTACACCAAAGATTGAAAGATATCATCATGACAATATGATATTAATTACTTAATATCATGTTTAATTTATCCATCATATTTGTATATCAAGACAATCAGCAAACCATGAAGCAATCAATGGAAATGGATCTCGTAAATAACTACCTCTCTCTCTCTCTCGCAATTTAATTGATTGTAGACACACTTCATAACCATAAAGCGATGGATCGACTTATCATGTTAACACTAAATAACAACGATAATCTAAATATGAAGAATAGAAAATGATTGTTAATAGTTAGATGATTTATATATTGTTATTTGAGTCGTTTCTCCAACTCGTAAGTCATTTTTCCATTGAGGAGAATTTTTTTCTTCTTCTAAAAAGATTTATTTATCTTCATAGAACTTTATTCTTATTATCATTATTGTTGATCGTTTTTTATCCTAATAACTAATATATTTTATCTTTCATCTTTTCCTTCACTGTAGATGCAGACACAAGGATCATAAACCACACGGATAATAATTTTCTACCATCATTATCATTGTTTTTTATGATTTTTACAATATTTATCCAAAGAGTATTAATCTGTCAAGAGAAAGGGAGAAAAAGAAAGACCCAAGAAGTTGTATCAAGAAGAGAGGGCGAGAAAAATCATCAACTGATGAAAATGGATTAACGGTAATCAAGAAGCATATACTATCCATCCAACATAATCAAATTAAGTGCTATTTGACAGGCATCCTTTTCGTCCTTTTTTTTTATATTATATATCATCATCATCATCTCTTTTCTCTTCATTTTCTATGAACTCTCAACTGAATGGTCAATACTCATTTTGACTGAATGGACTCTTACCCAAAATGATAACCACCATCTTCTAAACTCTGAGCTTTCATCAATCAATTTATAAGAAACAACAACATTAAGCAATTGCTTATTTCTTTGTTCTTTTTAAACATTATCATCATCTTCATCTTATTTTCTTTTTCACTCTTCTTTTTTCTCTCTCTCTCCAAAGTAGATATTTTCGAAACGATAAACATTTACCTGACTCTCAAATAATAGATGAGTAGCTTTTCATTGACCTCAATGGGCTATTCATTTCTGTACTGGTTAAAAAGAAGAGGAAACAAAAGCAAAGGGTATAAATATTCACAGAGGAATCTTAACAATCTATTGACGGTGTTAATGTGCAAGTAAATTATATTAATAGTTATTGGAAGATGGGTCAGGTAGGAGATGGAGAAAAGGAATTGCAACTAAAGATTATCAAAGGATCATCATCATCATCAACAGGAGGAATAAGATGAAAAATGTTGAATCAACTTTGACCCTATTGACCATTTTGAAGAGAACACATTAAATCCCTTATTCTATTATGTGTGTTCTTTCATTTTCCTCATCTTCTTCTTCAATGTGTTCATCTTTTCGCATTCATCAACATCATCTTAATCATTTCAATCTCCATCTTTATTTTCACCTTTTTCCATGTTTAGTAGTTTCATTTTTTTTTTCTTCTCTTCTATTTATCCTCCCATTGCTTGTTCATCTATCTTAAACCAATATTTTCCTTCTTTATCCATATTACAGTTATCTTCATCTTTTCTCCTTCCTTTCTCAGATCAATCAGATTTTTTCCTTCTCTCTCTCTCTCTCTATTTTGAAACATCTCTGTAAACATAACCTGAGGATGCTTCAAGAATCTCATGAACTTTTCTTTATTTTTCTCTTTCTTTTCTTCTCTGATAGGATCAATGGTTATTTGGTGACAATTTGCAACTTGAAATTTAATTTACTGTTCAGAATAGGAAGCGATTTGGCTTTATTCAAAATCGATTCTCTCAATAGGTTCGAGGAAAAAAGAGAGAGAAATTCAATGAAGGATATTGATAATATTATAAACAAGGATGATGGAGGAAGATAAAGATGGAGAAGAAAATAAAAATGAAGATAAAGAAGACAAAAATATACTAAGAGATTGAAGGTGAAGGTAATAGAGGTAAATTCAACTAGTTAAACATATGAAGAGGAAAAAAGTAATACTTGAACAGTTCACTTGAAAAAAAGGCTTCGAAATATATATCTCTCTCTCTCTCTATATTTGTGTACAAAAGAGGAAGAGAAAGATGAAGATGATAAATATGATGGAGTAGAAAACCAGCCAAAGCAAAAGAAAAAGAGAGAACCGAAAGAAGCCCCTGAAGCAAGAAATTGAACCTCTTCTCGAATAATATCACCATCATCATCTCAATTCTATTCGAAACATTCCCTGGGATGGAAGGAAAGTAATAGAAACTAATATTTGGAATATTAGATAAGAAAAAAAGAGAAAAAGAACTTTTTGACTATTTCCTCATTCATTTTTCTTTTCTTCTTTTTTTCAGGTACATATTCATACCAAGAATATAATTATGGTCTCAATGGTGATGAAGAATTGACAGTTACAACTGTTATCTTCATCAACACCACCATCAACAACAATAATCATCATCACAAGAACATAATATCATCAAGTGAGAGAGAGAGAGAGAGAGAGAGAAGATAAAATGAATGGGAAAATCTCCAAGGGTTTAACCAAGTTTACTCGATCATCAAACTCCTTAAAGGCAAAGTAATGAAAATGAACAATCACTTGAAAGTTTCATCTTCATGATGATCATTTTTATCGTCATCATATCATGTGTCCAATGTTGTGAAAATTTTATCCACTTCCTGAAATCAATAGACAACAATTGTTGATACCAAGTGAAAAAAATTATCAAATGAAACGGTAACAATTTTTTGCCTTCCTCTCCCCTGATCATCATGATGATAATGATGATTATTTCACCATAGACTTGGAATCTAATGTCTTATTGATTATCTTTCTAGCGCATGTTTCCAGTTGATTGTTATTATAATATAAATGATTTGACATTTACTATTAGATAATAATTTGGGTTTATCAATTGAATTGGTTGGCTCAATCATCATCATCATTGATGATCAACATAATAATAACCTGATTATGATTCAATGATTCAAACGGATGAAAGACTGATGATGATCAATGAATCTCAAGTAAATTTGATTGTGAAAACCTTACCTGGTGAAGAGAAATGAAAAAATGATTTCCAGAAGCAGTTGATTTGATTTTCTGTCAATCAATCATGGTTAACTGAACACCAATAGATCAAATTTACGAGTAAAGTGTTTCCCTAACAATATAATACTTTCTCATCCTTTCCTTTTCCTCCTCATCCTCATCATCATCATCATGTATTGTTATTGTTGATAATACATACACGATATCAATAATATCTGAGCCCAAGGAAAAAAAATCAACTAATAACAATCCTAATTATGATGATAGTTTAATCAATCTAACATATTAGTTTCATCATGATGGCGATTTTGTTTTCAATCAGTTTAATAATAACAATTAACAGGTTAATATAAGATTAACCTTATTAGGATTGATTTCTTACTTTTGATTGTCTCATCTTCACAATCAATGTAATTAGATTATCATCCGTGATAATTATCAATATTATCTGTATTTTTGACTTGATAACATGACAATTTAACTTAATTAATTGCCAACTAACTCATTAATTTTGAACATTATTTATCAAGGTTAATGGTTATTCTGTTAATTAAATAAATTTGCTCAATATCTTGATTTTAATGATGATTTAACTGCCAAAATATTAACAATTTAATAAATTTATCATTGATTTATTAATTATCACTGAAACTTATATAATATCCTCCAAGTTTCATCTGATTAATTGGATCAGGTTTAATCATGATAACGATAATATTTAAGTATTAATTTTTTGGGTGGGTCATAATTTACCTTGATTATTGTTACTTGATTTACAGTTAACTGTTAAATCTCAAATCAATAATAAATCATTTCAATGATTTAACTAATCTTTGTGGTATTAAAACCATAAAAACATAATTTAAACTTAGATATCCCAAAGAGATGAACAAATAAAAAACTATTAACTTGATTAACTTTGTAACGTAACAATTTAATCAACAAATTGTTTCTCCATTTTCAAATTACAGAAAAAAGTATCTCGATTGTTTCGTTAGTTAATCAACATTTAACTGTGTTTACGTTTTAACTATTAACCACCATTAATAGAAACAATTAAATCATTGAAGGTTAACAATTTTTTAGATTAATTGTGAAAACAATTTGTTTCAATAGTTATTTCACTCCAAGTAATCAACTACAATTAACTAATTAACTAATTTCTCTGTTGTTTTTTTTTCTTGTTTTCTAGGTTAACTTGAAGCTCTCAAAGAGACAGGAAAACAATTGTATTAATCACATTAATTTAGTTAATCATTTTGTAATAACAAAACTAAATTACAATTGTACTTAACTAGACTGATTATCAATTCACCCACAAATGATTTAACAATTAACTTGAATGGAAAACAACAATTTAAACTGGATTATCAGGCAACAATAACAACAATGATTTAAGCAAAATTAAGTTAACAACGGACTCAAACAATTTAACTGATGAACGACCAATATAATCAATAACAATCAATGTGAACAATCAGTGAATGATTTAAATTACAATGGTGATAATAGTAAATCACAATTGAAATTTACAATGAGAGTTAAAAAAATGATTGTTAACTAATAGTAACATTAAAATGAAGCCAGAATTCAGGGTAACCACAAGTTACATGGAGGAAAAAATTGAACAGAAATGAACAATAATAATATGATTATGATGATTTCAATTTCCAGATATTATCTCGTGAATTGAAAACAACAGAATGAAATAATAAATTTAGTTCTCAAGGGAATTACAATGAAGTAATCATGATAATATGAATTGCGAAGGCTGAAAAACTGAATCAACAATTTGTCTGATGAATTTAGTTTTACACTTTTTTCTTACAATATCATGATGATCATTTCTAATAATAATCATGATGAAATATTATTATGATTACTTTCATTTTCTGTTGATACAAATGGTGGAGAAGAAGAAGAAAAAAAATGATAACAATTGGAAAAAGAGAAAATAACAATAATAGTGACCTAATCATGTTCGAGGTTCAGAACTTTTTTCTTCTTCTTCTTCTATGTAATATGTTGGGATGAGAGAGAAAAAAGTTCTAACCAGAAAATAGATAATAATTGAAAGATATTTTATCTATTATCATTTTGATTGTCTTCTTTTCTTCATTTTTTTCTTCTTCTTCTCTTTCTTTTCTTATTACTTTATCATCTTCATGATTATCGTCATCATCATGGTGATCATATGTTACCCTGAGTTGATTTTCATCTGAGGTTTCATTTGATTCTTATTGTTTTCTGATTTCATTTATCTTTAACCTTAATTGTTGGCTAATTGAATTGTCACTTGTTCTTTGTATTTGTTGTTATTACAATTTAATTTAATTTAGTTGTGTTGATCTGATTAAACAATTAACTTACTTGACTATGTAAGTTGAACAATTTGTTTCCAATTTGATTAATTTTCATTTTGTTTCTCTGTATTTTTTTTAATCAGTCTCTTGATTAATCTGATAATCTCATTGTTGTTTTTAATTTATATATCAAACTAATCATGATTAACTTTTTTGCAAACAATTTATTGATTATAATCTGTTAGTTAATAACAAACTTTTCAATGTTGAACAGTTTCATTAGTTAGGCTTAATTGTCATTAAGTTTTTAATTATTCTGACAACAATTAATAACTCTAACTAAACTTAATCTGTTGTTAATCAATATCAATATATAATTTATTATATATAAATTGTGATTACAATTAAAAGCTTTCTAAGTGTTACCTTAATTAATCAGAACCGTTAACCTTTGATTTGATTAGCTCACAATCAGCCCATTGATGAAAACAATTTAATATTACAATCAACTGATTATATTTATTAGAATCAAGTTGATATTAAATTGTTGATATAATGAAAAGTTAACGATAAAATTAAATTGTTTCAATGAGGGAAAAAAATTAATATAAATGATTGCTGATTAAATGATAACAATCAAAGTTGATTAAAAATTAAATGAAATTATTTTCACACTTAAAAAGATATAATTGAAAATAGGAAATTGAAAAAAATAAAATAAACTAAACTGATTGTTAACAATCAAGTAAATTATAACAACAGACAATCATAATCATTGAAGCAATTTGATTATATTCAAATGATCAAGTATTACAACAATTTAATAACTTGCCTGAGGGGATGAATATAAATATGATTAAAAGGAAGAAGAAAAAAAAATCAAAAAATCTAATCGATAAATAGATTACAATCAAATTGAACAGTTAATTATGATTAAAATTTAATTCTCAAACCATGAATATAATAATGAATCAACTGTCAGCTGATTTTCACCACCAATGGATCAATGATTGAGTCTGAACTTTGTTGATTTCCTCTCAAGTTTATCTCCTCCTCTCTCTTCATAAATCATAACTTTACCATGTAAACAAATATTATCCCATGGAAAACATGAAAACCTTCATGAGTAACACATTTCCTTCATGGTGGTGGTGGAAAAACTTCCCACTCCCACCCTGTAGCTTTTCCAGAGGAGCCTTTTTGATATCCTAATAATATTATTGTTTATTTTCACTCTCTCATTCAATTTATTGTTTACCTTTTTTCATTCATATTTTTTTTTTGATCAAATCAATTTGATTTTCCAACAATTTAGCCATTTTCATGATACTTTATCCTGTTTCATTGAGTTGTTGTTGTTGTTGTTCAATTGTTTGAATTGATTAGTTAGATTTTGTTTGATGTTCATAAATGACTGATTGTTTAATGAGCATTTAGTATTTGCTCATTGAATTAATATCTTATTTCTTGTTAACTAACAGTTAGTATTTACATTTATGATTATGTAGTTTGAATTGGTGAAAATTTCAAATTTTGATATGCTAATTGTTGCCTGAGTGTTAATCATGTTCAAGTAATAATATTTTTCCACTGAGTTTGGATTCGTTTATTATTATTTTGCTTTTCTTTAACTTTTTCCTGGTAATGAAAACATTATCTTAGTCACATGTTTAATTCTCGGTGGGTTTTATTCAAGATGAAACCTTATCCCACCACAACCGTGGTGGTGATGATGATGACGATGATTATATTGATTGGTGAAAATTTTTCTCTTTACTTTGTTATCTTATGAGGTATCGTTAGGCTGCTTGTTATCCTCTCGAATCCCTTACTGGTCAAGAGAGAGAGAGAGAGAGAGAGAGAGAGAGAGAGAGAGAGTTCTGGACAATGAGATAACTCTGAATTCTCAACAGGATAATTCATCTTTCAACATTGGAATCATTTTGATTAATATCATTTTCTTTTTTCTTTCTTGTCATCATCATCAAGTTTCAGGTTAACCATGGGGTCAATATGATTATCACCATGAAGATGACCAACATCTCGATGATAATAAATTGTCACAAACAAGGAAACAATAACAAATAAGAAAAAGAAAAGAAAAAACTTTCAAAACTGTCAAAGAATCACAATTATCTCCAATTGTGCAATTCCAGTTTCCACCCAAAAGTTTCAATTGAAACTTCATTCAACTCGTAGAGAAAAGTAATTAACATGATAAAAGAGAATATGAGAAAAAATTTTATTCAAATGAATTTCAATTCTTATATTATTCTGATTAAATTGTAATCATAATCTTTTTCGTACACAATCACAATTAAGTAAATTAACTGTGTATTCACATGTTAATATCAAGCTGTCACCTCTAATGTTTACAATCAAAAACTTGACCAGCATTGAATACGGAAGCGGAAATGATGGATTGCAAAGTCCTAATTTTCATAAGGCAACTGTTAATGAAAATGATGCATCTTAATTAGCAAATTGTATTGAGGAAGAAAAATCTAATTTCCATTTTGCTTAATCAACTCAAACCACAATCAAAAGTTAAATTGTTCAACCTTATTACTGATCAATATTCAACAAACTAATATCAATGTAAATTAGCTTGACATTGATTATTAACCTACAATCGGAATATTAAATAGCTGGACAATAAAGTAAATGATTAAAAGTGTTATTTAGCTTAATTGTTGTCATTTGGAGTATTATACAAATGTGATGATCTCGAGGTGTTGGGATAATATTTTCATGAAAAAGTTTAATCATCTCGGGAATTGAATGAGACCAACGGGCAATGGTCAGTGGAAGAGGATTCTAGTTAATGACCAAGGATTTACTATGTATCAGTGTCTTTAGATTCATTACAATGACACACCACACCCTTGAAGATTATATTACATCTTCCTTTATCATCCTCATCCTCATCTCCATCCTCATCTTCATCTTTGCAATTTGGACTTTTTTGTTTCGCTCTGTCAATATTATTGTTACTCAGTTGCACGTTTTTCCCTTAATCATCATCATCTCATTTGCAATTTACTGTTACTCTGTTTATCTTCATCATCATCTTCATTATCATCCTTCTCCCACTCCTCTTCCTGTTCCTCCTTCATCTTCATCATCACTATTGACACACTTTCCTTTTGCCTGTGTATATATTTTCATGTGTCTCTCCCTCTAAGATAAAATCATTTCTGATTCCTTTTCTTTCATCAAACTGACAATTTAATCACAATCAATAAATTGCTTTGCTAACTGAATGAATATTTTTTCAATTGTATTATGAATGCAATTAAATTTCCTGATACACTTGGAAACATCTCAAGCAATAGTAGTGATTGTGATTAACGGTAAATTTAATTTCTAATAAATAACATAAACATACTAGTGTAGTTAAATATTGTTACTACTAAAATGATATTATCATTATCTTGATTGTTAAGTTAATTAAAATTGGTTACATTGGTGTTAATTAGACTGGAACACATGAAAATTATCATTTATCATAACACTCGATGTCATATTTGATATTCTCATATTAAAATTATCCCAAGTCCAGTTAATTAATTAAGTTATATAAATTTTAACCATAACAAGAGCCTCGTAATTAACTTTTATTGTAAAAAAAAGTTCATCAAAAAGCAAAAAAATTAACATGAAATAAAATTAAATGAAAGCTAAACGGAAACGGAAAATCAACTCGAACCCCCTGAAAAAATGACCAAAGTTCAACAACATTGTATTCAAATCGTAATTGTAATTATTATAATTGTGTTTTTGATTAAAGTTTCAGAGTTAATCAGATGATTAAACAACAACAAAAACATGAGAATGAAAAATTTTCACCAATTGTAATAATCAAGTTCCAACAGATCAATGGTCAGTTTGTAATGTTTTCATATGAGGTTGACCATTATTCATTTATACTGGTTGAAGATGATGAGGATGGTCAGTGAAAATGATGAAGATGAACATGATGATGATGATGATGAGCTTTACAGAATGATGAATGACCAATCTGTTGGTGAGACGTGCTAGAAATGGTCAGTTGAAATAAAGATAAATGTGTATTGGTCAAGCCTTAACTCTTAACTACGATTACACTTACAAAGTTATATAATGAAAGTTGACCATCAAGATGAAGATGATGATGAATGAGAGAGTTGAAAGGTCATGACAGTTAATCCATATTCAATCAACTATTATAATGTATACATACTGATTGTTTCTGTTACCAGAACCAAATTAAAGTGATTAACTTTGAAAACTTTGATGATTAACATGCAAATCTTTCAATGGATTTAGAAACTAAATTAACTGACCACAACAATCAAGTCTAATGATTCAAATGATAATTAGTAGTTAAATTAACTTGACCAAATATAAATATGACCAGAAAAATCTTAACCATTAAATTGTTGATCTTGATTAATTAATTTTCTGACAAAATAATGAATACTTTGTCTATGGTAAATGATTATTTGCTTCAATAGTCACAATTAACTCTGATAACATGATTGAAAATCATCAATTCAATTGTAACAATTTATATTCGTTGATATTATTTTGATTGGTTACCTTTGAAATTGAATTTATTATAATATATATTATTATTATTATCATGACAAAGATGATAAACATTTAATTGAATTAAGATTCCCTAGTGAATTGTTTTCAGTTAATTGTAACAATTAAAATGATAATAGTATTGATTGTCAACTCGTAATAATTTTTTGGCTTTTTCTTGAATATTAAATAATCAATGGGAATGATTTTCTCATAATTTATCACCATTAACTGATTGTGGCTTTGATATCATTGATTTAATCATAATAATAATAAATGGTTATCATGAAATTATAGCCTCAGTTTCATGAGATAACGATAATGTTGATACTTTATTATGAAAGAAATTATTTTGTATCTCTTTTTTGTTATCAGGAGAATCAGAACTTTTTTTTCAACAGAATTCATTGTATCTGTTCACAGGTAGTTAATCCCTTGGTGAGGACTTAACGGATTTA